ACCTTGGGTGGACACTTGTAAGCAATTCTAATAAAGTATTAAATCAGTGTTGTTTTTTTTAATAACAGAAAGATCTCTCAGAGCCAATGGCTGTACAAGAAATGGATACAAGTAATGGAGTTCTTCTACCCTTTTATGACCCGGACACAAACATGGTCTACCTGTGTGGAAAGGTATGAGTTCAGGATTGTATGGCAAACACAAATTCATCTAGATGGTAATATTTAGTTTGATTTGCCATTCACATTTTGGTTTTGCTTGGTTTTCAGGGAGACTGCACCATCCGGTATTTTGAGGTGACAGACGAATCCCCGTATGTTCACTTCCTCAGCTTATACAGTAGCAAGGAGCCACAGAGAGGAGCAGGCTTTCTTAGTAAAAGAGCTGTGGATGTCAACAAGTGTGAAATTGCCAGGTAAGCACAGAATGTTTGAGCAGGTGAGACTGGTGAAATTTTATATTTTCCTCCTATCAACAAACTCAATGAACAGACTGAAACCAAATGAACAATATCACGAATGTTGCCAAATCCTGTAATCTTATTCCTCTGTGTCAGAGACTTCCACTGTTGTCCATAAACATTTAAAAACACATTATTGAGCAACACTTTTGCGCTGGGTGTCACATAACTTAATTACCATGAACAGGGGTGCTGTAGTTTACTTTTAATCAATCCAACATACAACTTTCTGCTGCCGTAAACATATTCACTAGTAGAAAAAACATGTTTTTAATCCTCATCTGAAAATAGTCCCCAACAAATACACTATTGGCTCCTGTTTGAATAACCTTTGTTAAAAACTACAGTGCCCTGTAGGAAGCTACAGAGGCTTTTTTGAAAATGAAAACTATATATTTGTGACCATATTTAAAGACTTACATCTGAGTTGAGAGCCACAGACATCTCAGGCAAGTCAGAAAGCCTTTAGAGACAGAATAACTTCAATAATAATAATAAATTCATGGGGAAGCACAGACTTAACCTTTTAACGAGGTTTCTAATTTCCTGCTCTGTAGGTTCTACAAACTGCATGAAAGGAAAGTGGAACCCATCTCAATGACTGTACCACGGAAGGTAAGCCATTAACAACTTAAAGGAGCTATTGGTAAGTTTTGATATTGCTACATAGCCAGCATTAGCATTAATAGCTGTGTACTAACAGTCTAGAAGAAATGTTGTTCAGCATCAAACTTCATCATCACCAAGAGCTGTCTCCAGTGGTGGAAAGCAACGCCAATGTTAATTCTTGTCTCTATCATGTCTTTTATCCTGCTGAGGTTAGCACACTAACAAGCTAGCCCTGGTCACTTTTTGATAGCGACTTACTGTAGCCTCCAATCTGCCCTGAAGAAATAATGCTGCTCAGAGGGTGTATTATAACCTCTTGTCAATGCAACAATGGCTGAAGCTCTTGTCAAGCGACAATCATCACCAACTGCTCCCGGCAAGGCAAATAGCCCCTCTAAAGAATGACTAATTTGTATACTTACTATTCAAAAGTAAAAATATAAGCGCTCTGCATACATGGGAAATCTATCCATAATTTATCAATAAAAACACTTAACTTATTCACCTCATCTCTATCCTGCCTCCCCAGTCAGATCTGTTCCAGGGAGACCTTTACCCGGACACAGCCAGCTTGGAGCCGGCTCTCCTGGCTGATGAATGGATCGCAGGGCAGGATGCACCACCACTGTTGGTCTCCCTGAGCGGTGGGTACACGGCCCCTCCTTCCAAGCATAGAGACACCCTCAGAAGCAAGCCAAAGCTTGTCTCGCAGGACTCTGGGACAGGGGCCACCCCAACTTCAGCAGGCAACGTAGCGGCTCCAACATCCACACCTACCTCTGCCGCCAAGGAGACAGAAGAAGAGGGGCCACAGCCACGAGTAGCCACAAGAGAGACAGATGGAAATACTGAGAGGCCGAAGAGAGAGGTGAGTCCATAGAATGAGACATATTGACCATAATAAAATTTTCCATGCTCAAAGTCATTTTTTGACTTGTTGCCTCTGCTTTCTCCTTTCAGGATGACGTGTTGAACGAGTTGTTAGCAGAAATGAAGGCTTTGCGCGCCGTCGTACTTGCTCAGAGCCAGAGAATCGAGTTGCTGGAGAGGCAGCTGGCTCGGATTGAAGACGGGGACGTATGAGGAAGCAGGAGACTCACTACATTCGGAGGGCATTCTTACTAAATCCATAGACCATAGCCTTACTAGAATCAACAAGTATCTTAAGCTGTGTGAGTGGGAGAATGTAGTGTAGGGTAGCAACTAATGGTTTATTGCAGTGGCTTACAACCAGATCAACAAGATGAAAACAAGGTCACAATTTGTTTCTGCCATTGCTTTCCAGATTGTGGTTGAGAACGGGGTGTCATCTGCATACAGTGAAATTTAATAATGAAGTAATGTTTGGTTTTACTTATGAAGGGGTATTGTAGCAGCTATTTGGTGGTGCATATAGTGCAGCTTTGAGCTTTGCAAAATCCATGTGTTAATTTTGAAGGGCTTTGAAGGAGTTACAGTGGCACCGTTGCCTCAAATTAATGCACAAAGTAGGAACAAACAGCGTTATATTAAAGCTATTGAAGGTTGACATTCTACAGCAAAGCAATTAAGTACCTCTACTATGATTGTTTCACTCACAAATGTAAGCATTGGGGCTATTTAATCAGGTAGTTAAAGCTGCTAAACTGTGATGTCATTTCAGACCCCCAGTTGTTAGCTCATCGTGTGACTTGTGCTTTGTTTTACTACTTCATTATAGGACGCTGTGTGTAAGGTTAACGGTAGGAAAATCTTCTGGTACAAGAAACATGAGCTTGACAAAGAGAATTGTGTGAATGATAGCTGATGAGAGTGTAACAAAATATTTATGTGTATCGTAATTCTGTGTAGTCTTTGCAGTCAATGAAAAGGTAACACTTGTGATTTTGTACCTCATGTCAGGTTTTCTGTAACATCGTGAGGTGAGATATTTGTCCACATTATCATTAAGATATAAATACGCAGAATACTTGCCTCTTTACCTTCTTTTGACGTGTGGCTGCAGTACTGTGTGCCCCCTAAAGAACCAGGATCTATGCTGAGTATTTTGAAGAGCAGTAAATTTTTCACCTTTGAGTCATCACTTGTCCTGAGTCACACGGGGCTAGGCTGTACTATATATAGCACATACAAATATAACCTTAACATTTTTGGTGCAATCTCACTAAAACACATTGAGCATATTCAAATCATCAGTTAACAAGTGTTTGCAGCCACAATAAAGAGGAAGTTACAGTGAAATGTTGAACATTTTCTACGGTTTGCAATTGCATTTGTATTGGTGTTAAAAGACGGAAAGCTCTTTCTGATTTTTTTTTTTAATTCTAGTTTTGTGTTTTTTGCTACTAGAGGCAATTATTTGTCACCTGTCCATCAGTCAATTATTGTGCAACAATGGTACATTCCACATCAAGCTAATCCCTTTATTACTTTAATTGTAATTTATATTTCTTTATGCACTGACCTCTTAACACTAAATGTAAAAGCAGTAGCATTTTAAATGAGACTACATTGTGAAAGCTCAATAAACATTCGTTCTTCCTTTGTATTAATTGAATGGCTTTTTATTTACACTAAGAAATGTTCTGTTCATTATCATTTGGTTGTGGTATCTGTGGTAATTTCTAGGTCTAGTTATGTTTGAATAGTGTATACAGTATTTTGAGTGTGTTGACTGCGTGCCAACAAGCATTTGCTGCTGCAATAGACATACAGTATGCACACACAAAAACACAATGTTGTCATGGAACACCCTTGAGATTTCTCCCATTATGTATTTGTTATTCTTTGTAAATATTGTTAAGATGCCTTGTATGTAATTGGGTTTCACAAGTGACCAGTTGAACTGACTGGGAAAGTGAAAAGGGGGTCTCAGATGACAGTCCATGACATGTCAGAAACTACAATAAAGTGGAGCTGTCTATAGATTACAGTGAGAATAAAAAGTCATGAAACAGTTTCTGAAGTCTTGGAATTGACTGTATGAACATGAAGGAACATTTTGTGAATTGATGGATTAGAATCACAAATTCATAGATTGATTTTTTTTTTTTTTTTCTTTTTGGAAAAGACAAGAAAAAAACACAATCAATGATATATGACACTGTCTAAGTCAGCAGACACAAAAAGTACACCAGATAAGGTGAAAAGAAAATATATATATTTTTAAACTTAACACCATCTTAATTGGGATTAAAACTGAAATATTTGATGACAAATTAACACTGCTAAAACTAGAAACTCGTGTGTATGTCCTTCACTGGGAGATACAGTGTAAAGCTACAGTGCAGATGATCTTTTTTGGGTGTAGAGGCTGTGGCTGGCCATTGAAGCATAAACAGGATGTGGCTGACTCGATTCACATTCAGAAAGCGTGTGCTGCTTTTGAATTTGGAGCATTATTTTGTTAGGTTTAAATCTTACAGGTGTGGTGTGTACTGATAATCCCAATATTTTTTGCATGAATCAAAGAATTACCTGGACCGATGCCTTCATTCGGTGTGTATATCAAAAGTACATGACTTCAGCAGTCAAAGTTAAAATTTTCAATGGTACATTTTTTCTACAAACTGTGGCACCATCACCCTCACTTCTGCTGCTTTTAAGGAGCTAGTATTACAACCTGCTGGTTGAAATGTGCCACAGGAAGCAAATATACTGTATTGTCTACACATCCAGTGGGTTAATTCGAGTCAGTAACGAATATGTTGGCCTGTGTTCTTAAAATATGTTGCATAATGCAGAACTTGCACCTGTGTTTCAGATTCAAAGTAAAAAATCTACTTTGCAGTGAAAAAAAATTCAAATATATATATCTTCCTCTTTCCACAATTAAGCGTACATTTTCTTCACTCTGCTTTTTACCACACCCCATTTGATTTTGTCTTTAATCTGCGTTCTCACCCCCACAAGCCCCCTCCCTCCACAAAGAGTTTCAGCTATAGCTTTTCATCACCACATGCCATGCACCAGCCTCTCTCTCGTTTTCTATCTCCTCCTCACACATATACACACACACACACACACACACGCGCGCGCTATGACACACTATTCAAAAGTACCGTAAATGTCACCAGTCAGTCCATTTATAGTCTTCGTGTTTTGGCACTGTCTGGCTCCACAAACGTTTTCTCCTGCTCAAAACTTTGGTGAGTTTTTCACAGTTTCTTTTACTGCTTTTTAATATTTGATATTATTTGATATTTTGCTGCACACATTTTTGTCTTTTCTAATCGAAATACCTCATGTTTTTTCTGCCTGTCTCTAACATTATAGGTCCATACCTATGACCTCAATATTTCAGATTTTAAATACATGAACCATTATTTAACGCCATACATGTGTGTTGGTTTTATAATTACAGTATTTCAGACATTAATGTACTACTTACGTCAGTTACCCTTATACCAGCTTTAATTGAACATTTAATGCACTTACTTCATTTCTAATTAGTATTTTAAAACTTATTGTTGCATTACATAATGTCTGAGTTTAGTATGCTCAGTAATGACTAGAAAAGTTTCCTCCCACGTCAAACTGACGGCTGCAGTTTAATAGTCATTTTGACAGGAAACCAGCAATGCTGTGAGCGGTCTGCTAGCTTCCTGTCATTCCAGCATAGACAATTTCATACTCATATAAGATAAAAGCAATACAGACTTCCTGTTGTATCTCCAGCGTACCTAGCCTGCATATTCTAATTTTATCTAGATGATACTCTATTATAGTGGCATTACTCTAATTTAATGTGATGTTAAGTAATCTAAAGGTTTAGCTGGAAGCACCATGCACTGTCACTTACTTTAGTTATTTACTGTTTTTTTTTCTAGATTCTGGAGTTAAATTTACCAATGGATCTCCCTCTCATGAAAACTTCACAACTGCTTTGAAAACACAAGGAGTTTTACAAACTGCCACAATCAGCCTGTAACTGTGACACCAAGCCAGTTGGATTTTTCTACGCATTAGGAATTTTCTAAAGAGGTACAGCACATTTCTGCATCTAATCTGACTCAGTTTTGTGGGATTTGCAGCTTGATACGACTGAGAGGATTTCTGGTTCTCAGACTTGCAGAGAAGAGGCAGTGTTTAGCATCTGTTTCAACCTGCATTTAGACACAGAATACTTGAAATTTAGCTTTTACGTGTTTGCACATCCAGCAAGCAAGACTATGACAAACCACACCCATGTGACACCCAAGTACAAGCTATAACAAACCATAAAAAACTATTTCAATATCCAAATGTCTTCTGTTTTAGGAGAATTGTCCATTTTGGGAAATATTCTTATTTGATTTTAGAGTTAGACGCCACCTGGCTCTGTCTGAAGGTAACAAAATCTGACTACCAGCAACTGCGTTTCCCACAGTTTCTATGTTTCATGCTTGGCTAAGCTGACTGCCTGCTGGCCCCTTCTACATATTTACTGCACGGATGTGAAATACTATTGATTTTTTTCATCTAACGCTCAGAAAGAAAGCAAATCAGTGAAGTTCCCAAAATGTCAAACTATCCCTTTATGACACAATCCTACAAAAACAAAAACATTCACTGAAGTTAATAAATGACACAGTCCAATGTGTGACATGCTAACTCACTGAACCTTTTCCTTCACTCCAGGCATGGGTGACTCTGATAATCCAAAATCAACTACAACTATCATCATTCTTTCCATCAGCCTATTTTGCCTGATTGCATTGCTGATCTTCTTGTACAAGAAGTTGAACAGGGAGGCTAATGGAGAATACACCATCCAGCGCATGGTGTACAAGGAAGGAGGGGTCAGGGACCGGGTGAGGGGTGCAGCATTAACTCTGGAGACACATCTCGGAGTCCAGCTGTGGCCTCGCAATGATACAGATGAGGATGGAGAGGAAATGCAGGTCCAAGTCCAAGATGAGGAGGAACAGCTGGAGGAGGGTGGTAGCCAGGAAAGTTACAGTGAGGGGGACGACAATGAGGAAGAGGATGGGGGGGGTGATAATGCCCCGCTGTGTGATAAGACAAAGGGAAAAGGAGATGGCACTTCAGATGAGAAGACAAGCTTGGATGATTCGGAGGCAGGGGAGCAAACTGTGCTAACGGACCAGTCAGAGGCAAAGGAAGAGACGAACGAGAAAAGGGAGGAAAAGGAGGAGAAAGTGGGAGAAGGGGAAGGTAAAGGGGAAGCAAGTGGAGGGGCTGGATTATTGATAGACTTCAAGCAGTTCTCTGGAAGTGCCATTTGGTCTGAAGAAGAGGGAGGTGGGGGTACAGACAAGGATGTGACTGTGCTGTGAGTACAGAATAAGAAAATATGAAATACAAAGAAGGCTTAGGAAATTGTCTTAAGCCGTCTGTCAGGGATACAATTTTGGTGTTGAAATGCTGAATCATTTACATTACTATTTTTCCAGAAACAGCCAAATTTAAATACTGAGTCTAAAAATACTAAGCCTATAAAACACCCTTCATATGTTTTTAATTACAGACTGTAAACTAAAGAAAACGTAGAAAAACCAAAGAGGGTGGTAGCTGTGATCCTGGTCTTAATTCTACATCCTGTTGAGGTGTCATGATAAATAGCTGACTGATGAATGACGCTGTTAGAAATATGCAGGGGTACACTGGATTTTGAATGTTTGTATAAGACTTTACGTTTTGTTATGCAAAACTGACTTAGTCAGTTAAGAAATTTGACTTTGTATTACTGTGTCAGCCTATTGTATGCTGTATTGTATGCTGAGTGTAGCTTATGTTTTTTATTGCTTTAAAAGTTTTTTTTTTAATTTGCATTGAAAATAAAAAAATAAACAAAAACTGATTTTAATGTGTTCTTATACTTTTAGTTAAAATTAGAAACAATTAGTCATTTAATCGATTAGTCATTCGACAGAAAATTAAGAGGAAACTACTTTGATAACTGATTAATCAAGTAATTTTTTAAGCAAAGAATACAAAATTCAAATGGTTTCAGCCTCCCAAATGTGAACTGATGTGATAGTAAAGTCAATATTTGTGGGGTTTTGGACTATTGGTCTGACAAAGCAAGTAATTTTGAAAATGTCCCCTTGGACTCTGGGAACATAGGACATTTTTCTAGATTTTTCTCTACATATTATAGACTAAATGATCAATTGAGAAATGCTATCACTAATAAAAATAATGGTTACTTGCAGCTCTAGCCGTATTACTGTAGGTAAGAGTCAAACCTAATGTGCTGCAAAAATGGGTTGTTGCATTTATGAAAAGTGCAACACTCATCATATGTTGAATGCTCCAAAACTAAAACATTATATCGTTACTGTTTAAAGATATAATGATTATCACTTACAACAGTGTCACTGTGAACTCAGAGCCACAGACATACACTTAAAAAATTGTGCATAGCATGGCCAAGCTGACTTAATTCCCTGTTAAATGTACAGTGGTGGAAGAGGTAGGAAAGTTTACCAGCAAAAGTACAAAAGTAGTATTATTAGCATAATGTAGTTGAAGTACCAAAAGTAAAGGTAGGCCTACAAATTGGACAGAGTAGCCCATTTGACTTTATGCTTTAATATAATGATGCATCACACTATTTATCATATATTGTATGTTAATCATAATCTGCAAAGTAATAACCATAAAAATAAACTAGTCGAGTAAAGTAGAAGTACCTCAAAACTGTACATAAGTGCAGTACATAAGTAAATGTAGCCTACTTAGTTAGCTTACTTTCCACCACTGTTAATGAATGTACTGAAAAGCTTTATGATTATCTGGGCAAAATGCACTTATGTTACACTTTTCATTTTGAGACAGTGTATACTCTAACTACAAAATAAATAATTTCCTTGATATCAGCAAACAACTACAAACCATATATAAGTGACCAGAAGAATGTATTAAATCACGTCGTGGTCACTCATGTGACCAATGGGATGGTAGCTCAGTGGTAGAGCGCATGCTTCGCATGTATGAGGTCCCGGGTTCAATCCCCGGCATCTCCAGGGACTTTTGGATCGTGGTTTTCCTAATTTTTAAATATAAAATACATCATGAGAGTCGGTTGATGTGTAAAAGCTAGGGTATAGACTAAAATGAAACAAGAGTACATTTCCACACACACTTCATACCTCGACACGATGAACAGCGAGCGTGTAACATGAGTACCCTTTGTGATTGGCCAAACTGAGCACTTGCTCGAATCTGATTGGATGTTGGAGACTTTCTTGGCGTGGGAGTGTTCGTGCACGCGAGTGTCAAACATTTATTTTTCGCCGGCTGAATAATTTTCAGCTGGGTGAGAACCACTCGATCGAGACACTGTGGAAGAAACAAGAAGTGAGCCTGAGTCCATGTAGATTAAACCCAAGTGTAGTGACACATTATCAAAACAATTATGTAACCCGAAACCCGGGATTTTACCTCAAGATTGAAGACATCTTCACAGTGACAGATGGATCATTACTAAAGCACCCTAACTGTTCTACTAAGCAGTGATTTTGCTGGAGACACTGGAGCCGATCTAACCCGGTAAATATTTATTTGTTCTCAGGAATGTGATCCACCCTTACAGACAGCACAGATTTGGTAAAATATAAAAACCTTGCATTGCACGATCAAAGCCAGTCTGTCACAGTAACCTACTTTATGAGTGCCGCACCACCCTGAGCATCCAAGTTGCATTTTCTCCTCTCACCCTAACTTGATTGTGCCGGAGAAATGATTTCAGCACACGTCACTCATCTGCATAGGGAGTAAAATGCAACCAGCCTGCAAGGCTTTTTGCGCCCTGAAACTCTCTGTATCCTCGCCGTGTGATAAAAGGACCTACTAATTGCTGCATATCCGAAACTACAAACATGGAAGGTACAGTTTGCATGTAGTGTCATCCCGAAATATATATTTATGTCCACATATAGGAGACACATCTGGGTTGCAAGCTGTCCAAGATGGATGCAGCGCCGCTGTGCGCAGGGATGCACGGCGGAGCGGCAGCCGGGTATCTTTAAATGTCTATCATCCCCGCGGTTTCGCTTTCGTTTATGCCTCAATATTGCAATTTTTTTCACCCTTGCAGGAGTAGGATGTTACTAGCATCCGCCGTAGTGGTATGGGAATGGCTGAACGAGCACGGACGCTGGCGGCCCTACAGCCCGGCTGTCTGTCATCACATCGAGGCAGTCATCCGGAGCGACCCGCGCTGTGGTAGTGTTGTCCTCGGCCAGGTGGACTCTCGCCTCTCGCCCTACATCATCGATTTGCATTCCATGCACCAGTTCCGACAAGACACAGGTGAGGAGCAGAGAGGAGAGGCAGAGACACACGGAGGAGGGTGTAGCGGTTTAGCCGGGCCTGAGGTGGAGGCCTTTTTATTGCTCATGTGTGTCTACTTTATCATTGCAAGCCCTTGTGATGATTCTGCTCCAGATGTTGATGCTTTGATGGAGTGTTTTGCTGCAAAGTGGCTTCTTCTACAGGGTTTAAATTCTCCTGTGCTATGACATAAATGTCATTGTTTGTATGTTAAATCCCCCCAACCTAGTCTGGCTGAGTTTCTTCTTTCAGTATTTCCAGGTTTATTCATTGAAGGACAGGGATGTATGATGTGCATCTGTGGCTTGTCAAAGTGAAGTGAGTCATTCTGGTAGGATCTGAATGTGTGTGTGTGTGTGTGTGTGTGTGTGTGTGTGTGTGTGTGTGTGTGTGTGTGTGTGTGAGTGTGTTTGCATGTAACACAGTAGCAGCTGAAGTGTCCAGTCATACTCACAAACACAGTAAACACTTCGCTCCTGCAGTTTCATTGCAAGCACTGTTATCAATACTACTGTTTTGTAAGAGTATATGGACATAAGAGGTGAACTGTCACAAGTCAAAGCTTCATAGCAGAAAGGCAAGCAGGGCAGTGTGAGACAAAGCAGGGAATTGTCAGATGTCTAACTTTGGCTGAGACCCCGACTTCGTCCCTCTCTCTCTCTCTCAACATTGGCTGACAAAAGCTTTTGTGCAGTTTGTTTTCCAAACCCAGCAGAGGCTGAAATGTGGGAGCTAGGCAGGGTGCCCCAATTTAAATAGGGAACAGGGATGAGGAGGCGGGGGAGGAATTTCAGGAGTCTGAGGTCATAGACAAAATGGGGTTGATGGGGACAGATTTTGTGAATGAACTCCCTTGTTGTCTTGTTAAATGTGGCAAACTGTGCCACACATGCTGTATGGATATCAGTGTTGGATCCCATTCAGTTTCTTATGTTTAGACAGTTTGGGAGTTACCCTATTTTTGCTATGGTCATGGAGGGATTACAGAAGCTAGTGGCCACAGGCCTGAGGGCATGAGAGGTCAGGGGGCCCTTGAGCCAGAGCCTTAGTATGAAGTGACTGAAGAGCTCATTTAAAAGAAACAAAATGACCACAAAGAGGTGGAAAACATCCGCAAACTGATAAGGAAGATCATAAAAAAAAAACTACAAAGAGATGGAAATTGACCATTAAGAGACACAAAATGGCCAAAAAAGATGCAAACTATGAGTCAGGTGGTCCCATGTAGAAGGGGTGGAGGGGCCTTTTACCGGTCTGTGTCTCATTTTGTGTCTCTATTTTCTCCCAGTCAGTCCATGGCAATCATTGCTGCTGTGTAAAGAAAAAAGAGAGAATACAGGCTGGACTGTAAAATGAAAATGTAAAATGCATATTTTACATTTCTGGAAAAAAAGCTGTCATCTCTCACTTTAACATCAAGCTCGCTCATCTTAAAGAAACTTGTGCACCACTCCTGAAGAGAGGATTTGATGTGCGAAGGCTTTATAGTATGAAGACTCTGTAGAGTTTCTCTGGACACCCTGGGAAAGCAAACACAGCCAGCTTTGGGTCGGATCAAGGCTGCCAGCCAATCAGAACGCAGAACACCGTGTGCTGTTACCAGGGGCAACCTGTTTGCCCAAATTCTTAGCAAGCAAACACAGACATGTTGAATTTGTTAGGGTTGTAATCTACTTGTCCACAGCAAATAGTAATCCAGTCCACTCACCTCCTCTTGCTTCTACCTCTCATCACCCTACATCATGATTACAATCTAAGAGACAGAAAGGTGTTCACTATGTGCCTCAAACTGTATATTTACAATAATAGTTCAGGACGTGTCCATTGACGTGCAGTAAGTCACTACAGAGTGCTACTCAAGGATACCACACCAGGTTAAAGTCTTCATAATCTGCATGAGTCTTTTGCTTATGTTGTGACCCTGTGACCCCTGCCTCAGGTACCCTTCGACCGGTACGACGTAGCTTCTACGACCCCACCTCAGCGCCAGGGCAGGGCTGGTTGTGGGAGTGGGAGAACGACGCTGGCAGTTGGACGGCGTACGACACGGAGGTGGGCATCGCCATCCAGGCGGCACGAGATCGTCAGCAGCCCTGGCTGGACCTGGCGCCGCTGGGTTTCTGCTACCTCATTGACTTCGAAAGCATGACCCAAATCAACGGGCAGACACAACGCTGCCGGCGCATCCAGCGCCGCTCCGACTTGGCTTACCCGCTGGTGTCCGGGCCCCTACCCAAGTCCCACCATGCCTGGGGACCCACGTCAATGCCCGGCCATGGAGGACTGCTTGGTGTGGATGTATCTGGAGTGGGCATGGGGATCAGGATGAGCAGCAGTGGGACTGGAAATGGGAGTGCGTACCCCAGCGGGGCTCTCCCTGCTTCAGCCATCACCTCTCTGGGACAGCCCTGCGCCTGTCAGCAGTGTATGCTGGTGCTGAGTGTCAAAGCGGGCACCATGTCGGCTGCTCACACTCTGGGTCGGAGACCGCCACAGACCAAGCCACCAAGTCCCAAAATCACCAGTCACCCTGTCCCAGGAGGGTCGTACTCACTAACCCTCCCTCGGCCTCCATCCCTGTCGCGGTCATTCTCCCCAAACAGGACGTCTATAGTTGGGGCGACAGGTGGCTTCAGTGTAGGTGGTATGGGTGGTCCAGGAGGTGTAGGTATCATCGGTGGTAGTGGTGTTAGCAGTGCCAGCCTTGGCTTTGGAGGAGGCTTCACCCACTCTCTTTCCCTCCTCGGCTCAGCTACCGCCGCCCTCTCCATCTCCTCCACCCGTCCCCCTCCTCCACCTCTCCCCCCACCTCCGCCGCCTCCTCCACCTCCCTCCACCACACCCTCATCTGTCGCCACCTCTCCCCCTCACCCCTCCACCTCTTCCTCCCTCTCTGCTTCCTGCTCCGCCCCTACAGCGCCCGCTCCAGGCCCACCTCTCATCTCCACGGCTGCCTCCACCTGCACGCCCTCGCCTTCTGCCCGCGTCCTTGGCCCAGTGTCTTCGTCTGGTGCTGCTGCCTGCGCCGCCCCTCTGCCGCCCCGCTCCAGCCTAGCAGGGCTGAGCCGACCAGCGCTGCAGCGTATCGCCATGGCTCAGTCACGTGCCCTCATCGCCTCGGGGTGAGTAGACAACCACTGCAGCTGCATGTCCGTTTGACCAAATATTCTCTTATAGCCTAAAAAAGTTCAAGAAACGATAACAAAACCTCTGAAAATAAAGTGTGAATGTAGCATATTTAAGCAAGATTTACATTCCTACAAGAGACCCATCAAAAAAAATCTGAATTGTCTCATGTGTTTTTCAATTCAGTCCTAAAATTAAACTCTTCCTCTGTGCAGATGAATGAACAGACTTGTCAAAAGTAGGTGCGATGTCCTCATCACCAAAACAAAGGGTGCGGTGTTCACTGATTGCAAGGCAGTGTTACATGTAAAGCACCCAACCCCAAATGTTTGTTATGTATCACTGTCTGGCTGGTTTGTGACATTTTAATCAGAAAGTGTTGCTAAAATATTTCATGTATTATTCAGATGTACCCAGTGACCACACCCCATATCAATTTACTGTATACAAAAACAGAATGAGACCAACTGAACAGGATATGTAAGAAAAATCAGTTTAGACAGGAATTTCTCATTTGTTTGAAGGCCTCATTACACAGTGTCTGACATCAGCCTCATTAGCATCTGTGAGCCTTTAATCTTTGTGACAAAGTCCACCAGGCTCGTTCATTTCCATGGAAAAACAATGAAGAGCATTCATACTGAACAAGCTCCGCTCTCACACATTCCAGACTATTGTCATGCAACAACTAAATGATGGATTTAAACACACATACACTTGTGGACATATAGTTTGTTTGTGGTTAGTAAATATTTTTCACCCAACATTAGGGGACTTGGGGTCTAGGAATCAGAAAAGTCTGGGAATACTTGCACATGGGCTGGTAACCGTAGCAACCTATGTGGACCAGGGTTTTTTTTTTTACAAAGCAGGTTTATGGAGTTGTCTGAATAACTTAAATCCTCGGCCCTCTCAAATATGAAATAAGGAGTAATATAAAATGAACCATTTCATTTTTTACAGCAAACCACATCTGGAATGCATCTTGGATGCAGCTGAACCACATCTGGGATGTCGTGATTGTTATCAAATGCTCGGTATGCAATGTTCCCCTTGTGCTGGTGACTTCATTTTTTTGGACACTGCTGTAATGTAGAGACAGAATTTTGGAAATTATAGTCAGGAAATCTGGAATGAGGTCCAGTGGGCCTTTAGCTTTAGTGTGCAGAGAGACATACGGCACCTGCACCTTATATACTCTATAATCCTGAAAGTGCTGAAAGAGTTGCTGTCACCAGTTGTATTAGACAATGTTATTCATTAGGAATGTTTTTGGAAATTTGGTGATGAGAGCAACATATCAGTAAAAGTGAGTTTTTCATAAAAATAGATTTTCATATTGTTTTGATCATAGTGTTTTCTTCGATACCAGCCTTCCTTAAATATTCAATTTCAACTCTTTTCTTTTTTTTAAATTCAAAGCAGATTATTTTTATAGATCTTAAAACATGTCTGTAGGGTATTTTTAACAACTAAAGGTTCTGATCATGTAGATCATTCTCCACGTCATTCAACACCAGAAGAGCACTGTGTGACCATCCGGTATTTAGGTGTTAAAGTTGTTTTGACAGTATGTCAGAATAAGTGAATGTAATAAGGTGAAGCAAGTCACAGTGTCCAGATGCCATAGCCAGAGGGCGCTGGTTAGCAAGATGTTTGTGGTTCAAAGAAGACTATTAGAGCAAGAACACAGCTGTTTCCTCATTTTTTTTTATCATCCCATTCTGTTTTGCAGCTGGTGGTAGCGCCTTCTAGTGAGCATGTTACAAATTTTAGTATCTAGATTTCATCATACTCCAATTACAGTCTTTCATTTTATAACATATTTTCCTCACAATCCTTAAGTCTCACTGAAAGAGATGTTTCTGGGATGCTTTCTTGTTTTGCAGTTGCCTCAAATGTGAAAATGTTAAAGCCTACAAGAAAAGCGATATGTCTTGCATCCCAGACAGTTCAAAGACACTGTGTCACTAAAGAGCAAGTCTTAATGAATTTGAAAAAAAAAAAAAAAAAAAAAAGATGTGGATAATTTTCCATGTGAGCCACCTAACATTGCCCCAGCAAAGCACCCCAAGTTTCCGAATCCTCACATTAGCCTTGACAACTTCTGCAAAACAGTTTAGCAGCAGCTAAGCCTCAGATTAAAACCAAATACCACAGGCTTAATATTCCTGCTCCAGTAATCTCTGTATTTTGTGTCAGGTGAGATGTGTGACTGAACCATTCTTTCAACATATCAGGTGAGAGTACTCCTCTCTCCGACAGATGGTCGCACCTGCTGCTGTAGTAAAACCAGCGACGTCACAGATGAAACGTCACTCTGATCCCGTCAGCCTGGGATTCTCTGCTCACCTCTCTGCCGCTCGCCCTTCTTCTCTCCTTCAACCTTTTCTTAGCACAAGCTCCACTTAGTGCTCCTGCTGTCATCCCCAAATTCAGTCATTGCACCACATGTACACTGATGTGTGGCGTAGAAAAAAAACTGCCTGGACCTGGTGAACCCCAGTGACAGAGTTTTATCGTATAAAGCCACACATATACATGTAGGTAATTAGGCTCATATTTCTAAATCATAATTTTAAAATAGAAAATAGTTGAAAAAAGTGGATTATTGACCTTTATTTATAATGAATACTTATATTAATTTATGTCTGCTCAAAGAAATAAAGTGATGTATCCTGTTATAGTTGACAGTCATGGTGCTGTAATGCATTCTAACACAGTTATACTGTATTGTGATCATAACTGTCATTGATAACCTAGTGTATGCTAAAAAAAAAAGTGTGTGGTGAGTTCCTTGTAAAGTTTGTTTTTGTTGATCGAGCTTGCCAGTGAAAATGAGCAGATGGTTTCTTAGTGAAGATTTAAACTCTGAGGGGTCTCCAACGTCACAGATGATCACACACCTGTTGTGGTCCTTTCTCCGCTCACTGCAGTGGGTTTGATTTTGTGCCACCGCCGCAAAACGTCATCACGCGTTCCCGAGCAAAGTTTTTTGCTCCTTCTTCAAGGGTTTATCTCTTTTTCTTTTTTGACTTGATTCAAGTTTCGAGCTTGTATTTGTAAAGTGTGTGAGCGCGGCCATATGCCACAGCTTGTGTGTGTCCATCCCCAAGTGCTGCAGATGGAGGCTGCTCTAATGCCACTAGATTAGCCTGGATCAAAGAAACGTGACTGGCTGACACACCCCTCCTTCTCTTGTTTCCCACCCTTTCAATGCTTTTCTCCCACTATCCTTTAATCTTTCCATCATTTTGCTAATGTTGCTGTGTGACCTGCTTGTGACACAAATGTCAATCAACTTATTCAAGCTCAGGTTTGAGCCAGTCAGCTGCACGTTTTGTGACTTTGTGAATCACGAAAGACACGAACACAGGAAGCTAATACTGCAACTTGGACATGCTGTAGGTAAACAAACCAATATAGTAAGACAGCACAGTGTAATCAGATTGACCAGTAAAGGAAATGAACAGTACAGTGACTCTTAACTGTTTATGTGTCATTGTTGCATCATTTATTTAGAGGGAAAATTATTGTTGATGCGTACAGACACACAAAAAAGTTAGTCATTCATGTCCTACAGCCTCAACTTAACTGTAGCCTCATCAATAACTTGTTATAGATATTTGAGCAAATTTAATTCATTTGAAAATGAGTAGGTTTAGCAGCAGAAACTTTAATTCAATTGATGCACCACTAACAGGTGTCCTCCCATTGCTTCCTTCTGGTAAAAGACCCTTATCTGACGTCCCTCAGCCTCTTCTTTAAGTTTTATTGGGTTAAATAGTATCTCAGGCTCTGCTCGTCAACATATCTGTTTAAAGCCTTAGTTGGAGACATGTATGTATGGAAAAAAATACATTAAATAGATTCTAGTATAGATTCTCATAGAAAGATGATAGAGATAATACTTATATAAACAGACAGATGTATAATGTAGAAACACTAACAGCAGAGAAAACAAATGAAAGATATTTTAAACAAAGTTAACAGTAAAAATAGCAAAAAATTACTGTATGTGGGAATATATACAATCAGTTATTGTAGTCACAGTAATAGTAAGTTGGAATTGATGTGTTTTTTTATAAAAAATATTTTAAGCTTTCTTAAGAAAGGAAATAAGTATGAACCTATATACACTTTAAAAGAACAAAATAAAAGTAAAATAAGGGCCAAAGGGTGTGCGGTCTCCATTAAAGATACATAAATGAAACAGATAGAGGATAAATAGACAATATCATAAAATACTTTACTAGGGCAGTGGACTGAAATGTAAACCTTATATCAACATATTGTGATATTTATGTAGTGGCACTGTGTTAGTACCCAGCTGTAGGTGCTCATGTCTGTCAGCCTTATGGCAACCTGGCAGTGTGACGCGGTAACTAACAGGTAATCCCTGCTGTGACCAATCTCTGACCTACAACCAGAGTTTAGTCAACAGATGGAAACAGGTGGATTAGCCCTATAAAAGAGGAAGGAGACCCGACACCAACGCACAAGGCGAGGAGGAGCGAGACGGCAGAGAGATACACTGACATACCACTGTTAAACCTCAGGATCGATCAGAGGCAGGAAAAAAAAGAGAGTCACAAACAACTGGAAAGAGACGAATAGTGCGACAAGTGGATATTGTTGCTGGAATATCTTGACTAATATCTTGGTATTTGTGGTCTCTGGTGCTTTCAAGAAGGAAAGATGACTGTTATCAAAACTGGCAGACCGTAAGTACACTTCTGTGACTGGATAGTCTCTGTGGCGACACTGTTGTGCTCATCGCAAACTGTTGTTGTGCATTTCCATTTATGAGCAGAGATATAGTACAGCTGTGCTTAAAGATAGTGTGATATTTTATCAAAATAAGGGCATATATGTTCAACTTCCATTGATGTCACGTCAAAAATATCTATAGGGCTCATTCAACACATTTAAGGATGTTTTTATTTTTGTTTGGTTGTTTTTTGTGGCTGGCAAACTAAACAGAAAGCGCTGTCCAATTCCTGCATAAAATCAAAGCTGCTTTATCTGGACATGAGTTGACGTCCTCATTTTAAGTTGAAAATACCTCGTCTACTGTCTAATTGTCTTTCAAAAAGGCATCTTTGAATTCAGTGACAGTTAATGGAATCATTTTTGATATCGTGTTCTATCAGTTGTACCCAAGAATTAAGAGCAAAATGACTAATTTGCCATGTGCTGTCATCTAGGTTAAGCCCTAGACAGCAGGAAGTGCCATCTAATAATTTTAGGACAGTATGTCAAGTCAGCGTCTGTTTGTCTCTCCACATGACTTGGCAAAAGCTCCTTAACCTGCTGACACCTGGTGAACTAGGAAGTAGCACATGCTCGGGGCGGCTGTGTGTAATTCTGTCTGTTTACAGGTGACTCATCAGATTTTGACGCGAGGTTGCTGCGGTGACCTGACCTGTAGTGTGTCTGCTTTTGGTGTGTCATTGATCTGTAGATTAATGTGTGTTTGTCTTCTTGTGTTTCAGAGTGCCAACAGTTCCAGTGAAGAACCTGAATGGATCTAGCCCTGTTCACCCTGCACTGGCAGGTAAATGTACTGACACATCCAATTATCTCATTTTATTTAAATCTTTTCAGAAGTACTTTCTTTAAAATTAGGTCTAAAATTCACGAGACATCTTACTCATTAAAGTGTGTTATACTTTTTCTTGTCACTGATCTACTGCCCTACAGACGACACAGCTAATGATATTTGACCCCATATTTAACCAGTCTTTGAGTAAATCCACTGGCCAGCCTTCACCAGTTTGGTGAATAGATAATTCCCTGGTTAAAGAGCTCATCACGCAAAGAGTAAGCCCCAAATACAGCGTCTCACCCCCCCCCCCTCTTCTGGCTGTACACAGGTATTACAGGCATCCTGATGAGCGCAGCAGGACTTCCTGTCTGCCTGACCCGCCCACCCAAGCTGGTGCTTCATCCTCCACCTGTCAGCAAGAGCGACATCAAGCCCGTGCCCGGTCTGGGTCACTGCTGCCGCAAAACTACTAAGAAACAGGCCCGTAAAGGTGGGTGTAATTATGATGAGTCTGCTTTTGCTTTAGGCTGAATGTGCGTTTTGCTCATAAACAGATCATCATCGTACTTTGTGTCTTCACTTCGTAGGCAAGACCCCTGAGGAGGTGGTGAAGAGGTACCTTCAGAAAGTTCGCAATCCCCCAGAAGAGGTGAGTTCTCCTTTTGGATGATTTTCAGCTAAATAAGACATGAATGTTAAAAAATCCTTGACAACATTCAACATTGTTTAAGAGCCTCACTAAAGTATTTTAACATCCAAATATCACTGCGACGACAGCTGCAAAATAGGATACTAACATTTATAAAGTGTGATATTATGACAGAATAGAATTTCCTCTTTTTTTTCCACTTTTTGATAGTACAGCAGGAAAAAGAATAACAAGGAGAAACATACGCCTATAGCCACATCTTCCCCAGAGTAGATTCTAGAAGCAGGTTCTAGAAACAGTTTATAGGTCACAAGATTGTTTTTAGGTTAAAAACTAGCACTTAAACTTTTAGGGTTCTTGGAAGTGCCAGCAAAAAGGTCTTATCAGAAGTATAGCTACTTGGTTTTCAGCCAAGTCTCATGGCCTTCATCAGCAGGTGGAGTTGCTCAGGTGTGATGGAGATGGTGTCACATGATCTAAGTACTGAATTCCGGTTAGATGATAACAGGTGGTTATTTGGGCAGAGGAGATTGTAACCCTTGACAACGGAGAAAACTCAATCCGCTAATGAAGGCCATGAGATGTGGCCAAATTACACTCTTGAGCCAGCAGCTTTACATCAAACAACTGGATGATCATTTTTGAAATTACAATTTACAAAATTACAATATTTTGTTTTCTTTTTTCCCATATTTTTAAAACAGGAACATTTGAAAGGATTTGTTTTTAATTGGCCAACAACAAAAAGCACAACAAAAAGATTGAATGAGACATAAATTACACTTTACTTCCTCTTCCCAACTCAGGACTGCACCATCTGCATGGAGGCCCTGGCAGGACCATCGGGCTACAAGGGCCCCGGCGTGGGCGGTATCTCCCGGGCTGAGTCGGTAGGGCGCCTGGCACAGTGTGGTCACCAGTACCACCTCCAGTGCCTCGTTGCTATGTACAACAACGGCAACAAGGATGGCAGCCTGCAGTGCCCCACCTGCAAGACCATTTATGGAGTCAAGACTGGCAACCAGCCCCCGGGCAAGATGGAGTACCACGTCATCCCCCACTCACTGCCTGGCCACCCTGACTGCAAAACCATCCGGATCATTTACAACATCCCTCCTGGCATCCAGGTAAACTGAGGCCAAGTTTCTGTGATACTTGATGCAAAAATGATGAGTCTGTTAGGTGTTTAGTCTTTGCTTGAATGATGTGATGAACTGTGATTTCTCTCTTTAGGGCCCAGAGCACCCAAATCCAGGCAAACCCTTCACCGCCCGTGGGTTCCCCAGACACTGCTACCTCCCTGACAGTGAGAAGGGACGCAAGGTAAATGAGAAAACATCTCCTCTTCCTGGTTTCATGTGTAGCATGAAGATTACATGACCAGATTATGTGATGCAATGACTTATTGTCTTCATCAATTTCTTCATCCAGGTTCTGAGGCTGCTCCTGGTAGCGTGGGACCGCCGGCTCATTTTCTCTGTTGGTACGTCCAGCACCACTGGGGAGTCCGACACGGTCATCTGGAACGAGGTGCACCACAAGACGGAGTTTGGCTCCAACCTGACTGGCCATGGGTATCCTGACCCCGGCCACTTGGACAACGTCCTGGAGGAGCTTAAGGCTCAGGGCATCACCGAGGAGGAGTGTCTACCCAGAGACTGAGCAGAAACATTCAAGACATGGAAGGCACGAGAAACCAGGCCGGAGTCTGTAAACACACAATGCTGGGAAGGGATCCACAGCTCGACAGGCAAATTATTTTCAAAATCTGACAACATGAACAGAGAGGGACTTTTACCACCAGAGATGGAAAACAACTTCAAATAACAAAACTCTTCACAGGAACATTACAGAAATAGTTTCAGCAGAAATTTGCTGAGATTCAAATTTCTCTTATGACTGCATGAGTCAGTTTTGAAACATGGGAAATAATTTTCTTTCCTGATGCAGTAAACAGTGTCAAGATTGCAGATGTTATTCAGTGAGACATTTGAGACCACTGTGCACATATGAGTCCGTGTTAGATTAAAAAAAAAAAACTGTCATTTATACTGTGAGACTTCTTATCAAGAATGTAACTAAGTGAATTTTGCTGAATTGAAGTGTTTACCACTACTACTGCTGCTATGTGGAATTGAAAGGAGGTTAAGATGGAGACAAAGTGGGGTCTGTAAGTTTTTTTTAAGTGTTTGTCCACAAGCAGAAATAACTTTTCACTGCAGATAAATATTTCAAGTGTATAACTGGATATCTGAGCATGGATATTTGCTGACCTCTAGTGGTACTTTTCCAGAACTACATTCCTTTTTAGGTTTGATTTTTAAATTGTATTGTTGTATATTATGAATACTTGATATATTATATGATATCGTTTCCATTATATCATGTTTTTATATTTTAATTTTACAGTTTTGTTTTATATGGTGTGTTTCATTGCATTGTTTTTGGGTGTGACGTGACAGAGTGAGATGTGGGGTGAAGTGAAGATAAGCTGCTGGTGTACCTGAGTTTGCCTGACACTTTATATGCCATTTACCAGCCCCTTTCTTTAAAAAAAAAAAAAAAAAATCATTTTCAGTATTTTGTATTTGATGGGTTCACAAACTGACATTCCTTAATTGTTCTGTCCTTGGAGCATGGGTGCATTTAATAGCTTTCTGTGTCTTCTCGTATCTGCATTACTATTAAGGACTGATAGAGGAAAAGCTACTATGGATTATACCCCCCCACCCCCTCACCCAGGAGTAAATACCCAAAAAGCTAGGATTGAACCTCCTGCCTGAGCTCAGATTTGCACAGAGCTTTCTACTTAGTATCAAAAGGAAACGGACAGCTTGTATCTACTGTACTTTTGTGTAGGACACACACACCAGCCTCAAATGCTCTAATCACACTACAAAATGTGGTCTTTAGTTGTTTTTGTCATGTTTAGTGTTTGCCATGAGCAGGTGCAAAAGACTATCTCTTGTTGTGGATCCAGCTTTGGCCAAAGTGGTCCAGTCAGTTTGCATTTAGTCCATTGTGGACTGGTTTATTATGAGGTACAAGATGTACAACAGTATGTGTTGACATACTAATGTAGGCCAACATTAAAAGCATTTATACTTTATGATACTTTATGTATGCACTGTACCGTATGTATGTGTTTTATGTGCACAAATTTGCATTAAACGTTTTTTCTAAGGTTCAAAGAGATAACAAAACCCTACTCTGGTTTACTCTTTTATTTTATTTAACATTGATAATGTAATGTTTATTTAAGTCCATAAATGTGCCGCCTTTTATTACATTAAAGTGAGACTATATGTAACTTTTGATTAACAGCAGCCGCTATGGCAACAAGTGACAAATACAAGATAATGGTAAATGCTAAGACATAGTGTACTGGTTGTAAAATGAATGAGTCCACTACCTGAACCCATTAACTGCTAACATTAGCTAACAATAGCCACCATAAGCTACTGGTCATACCAGACCAAACAAGACTGTAGCAGCAAAACTCAGTGGTGTATTGAATTGACCAATGCTGCGTTTGTTTACTTCTGAAATCAGCTCTTCAGTTATAAGAGCATAAATGTACGATTTTTATTTTCAAAAGTTACATAGTCTCGTTTTAAAGAGCATTCACATTATCTGAACCTGAACGCTACATTACATCTCACTGTCGCAACATACAACTAAAAATGTAACCGTGGTTTCATATTGTATGTTTGAGTCCTATCTACATTTTCAAAGTAGCACCACAATGTTTTTCATTCATTCATCTTTGATTTACCAGAAATTATTCTCTAAAAAATTAGAAACACTAATTGTGGCACTGGAAATGAAAGGGTTTTAGAGATGTTTTTTTTTAGCTGGTTCAGACACATCATCCCTATGGGTTCAGTGTTTTCATCTTTTTTAAATCAATGTCTGTTCAGTTATTGCTCTGTTAAGTTTGCAATATGAAACCTTCCTTTCATTTGATTTAAACCTTTGTATAAATATTCATGGAAAGATTAAATAAGATAACAACAAAGACTGCACAATCCAGTTGCAGTATGTTTGAAGTACAAGTAACTTGCATATAAAGTACAGTGGGACTATTAAATCAAAAAATAAGTTCAGATCAAATCAGTTTTCTCTTGTTTGTGTTTGTGTGCCGTGTGCTGTGTTCCCTAAAGTACTACAAACTAATGACCAGCAGAACTACTTCTTTGTCTCTGGCTGCAGCGGATAAATGTACCAATATGACATTTTCCAGGATAGTGGAGTGATGGAATATTAAAAATAAGTGAAATGTCTCCTGAAATGTTGCGTTCACTTAACTAAACTGAGAAGTATTGCAGGGTTATTTTACTGTGAGTGGAGTTCAACTATTAACTAACAACATACAGGTAGCACAAGGGTTATAAATGATTTAGTTTACTCTGCGAGTGTTCACTAATGCAGATTATGATGATCTTGAATCTACATATGTTATACGTAGTATTGTGTTGTGAAAATTTGATTTCTGGTTAGTCCTGTCCTATAGTTAGATTTTACAGTGTGGTCAGATTTTATAGATCACTCACATTACTGACTTCTACCTCTAGACATAAGTGGCGCATGAACAGTTTATCTGTAGATTAGTCTGGCTCCTGGATTAGTAGTCTGGATTACCTCCACTTTAATGAATGAAAAAATTTATTAAGGTAACTAAATACAATTATATGGACCCCAAGATCGCGGGCGTTTTTAAGCAGCTGGGATAGTAAAGTCACTGAAATAGTAAGTATTAATTTATACATAAGCATTTGAAATTCACTTTAGGATTTATTTAAAATTGTCAAGGCAACAATCATAATCCTGCAAAAAAAAATCTACCTACCTAAAAGAAACGTCATTTTTTTTTTCACTTTTTTAGGCACAGACCTTTTAACTGGCCGATAGAGACGAAAGGGAAAAACAAACATGCAAAACCTTTCACACCAACTTTCATTCACTCTTCCATTTCTGCAACGGCAGAGCTTAACGTTTGTCTTAAGTGACAGATGTGATGGATGGGGTAAAGCTGCCAATTTGCATTATGAAAATACACGAGCCGCCTGTCAGGTTAGTTAGGAGCAGATGGGTTAAGGTTCTAATGAGGCCAGAACTGAGTTAAGCCAGACTGACGTCAACTAGTGTCACTAATAAAGATGAAGTGAAACTAGAGAAATTGTGCATGTTAAAGTAAATATGGACAAAGCAGCAGCTAAGGTGTTGTAGAGAAAGAGTAATTTGGGGTTTTACTGTCTATGTGTTTGTGTAAAAGACAGTGTGGCTTTGGTACATTCATATTTTTAGGAGAAAAAAAAAGAAAAGGAACAGAGCGGGAGGGAGAGAGACAGGGAGCAGGAGACAAGAGGAAAAATACTGATGATGAGATTGAGATGGGGTAGAGGGGGATCCGTGCCTTGGTGAGACTTAAATGGGGGAGGGGTCTCTCCAACTGGAGAGAGAAACCCCTCCTGCAGGGGTCCATTGTCTACCACCCACAGCTATGAATAGAAAGCTGATTACAGCAGTCAGCATATTGTATTCCATTGCAGGGTTGCCTACGGCTGATCACCGCATGTTGCCGTTTTGTTTTATGTCTCCCCTCTGTTATTTCCACCTGAAGTGTTTCACAGTTTTTCAGTGAAAGGCTTTTGCTCTCCTTTTAGGTCTAAACTGCAGGCTGGAAGTGTTTTCTTTTCCTCTACATCATGCCAGACGAAGCAAACCTCCCCTCTCCCTGTCTCAAAATGACTTGTCTATTATTAAAAGCTTTTAAATGGAGCAGTGTGTTGGCTGACTACCAAATCTAGTGCCTTGTTGCCAAGGAAACACATACCCGTGGTCTCAGCTCTCTCTTTTTTTCCCCCTCCCCCGAGGCTCATATTTCAAAACTGTCAGCAATCTGGTGCGCTCACACTGCTGCCTTTCAGCTAAAAGCTTTTTGTGCTGCTATTGGAGCAGAATGGAGGGGAAAAGAGAGCAGATGGGAGTGGTTAGGGGAAAGGGGAGGGAAAATGAAGGGCCTCCCTCACCGTTGCCAAGGCAACTTGATGTCACAGTGACATCACGCACCACTAAAAGCTTTTAACCGGATTCCTCTCCTGCCTTAGGCCCCATTTTGAGTCCTCTTTCAGCTAGGCTAGGGGGAAGGGCACAGGCAGGACAGTGGTGTGTGTGCCTTTTTGCATGTATCACTCCCACACCTCACACAGCTCTTAGCACAGTAAAAGGCTTTCAAATTCAACCTCAAACACAGCCAGAACAGACTAAGAGAACCATTTCAAAAATGGCATCAGACGATGGTTTCAGCTACCTAATGCCAGGCCACAGTGAGAAACACAGGCGGGCCCCGAACTGGACCGACGGTGAAATGAAAGCCCTCCTGTATGTGTGGGAGGAACACCACAACGAACTGAAAATGAGCAAGAGGAACGCCAAAGTTTACGAGAAGATGTCCCAGAGGTTTTTCCATCTGACCGGAGAGCAGCGTTTCAAAGAGGAGATCAAGATGAAAATCACCAACATGTCTTTCCAGTACAGGCAAGTGCACCAGATCCCAATATCCATCCAGGGTTATGACACCAAACTCCTGCTGTTGCATGACTATAAACATCACTTTTCTTCTCCAACAGGCGACTGAAATCTACAGTTGGTGAAAGTGGTGAAATACCAGATTGGCCGTACTATAAAGCCATCGAGAAGATCCTCTCCAAGCCGCTGGAGAACGGGCGGTTAAACTCTTTGGAGTTTCAGGCCTCCGCTGCAGGTCCCTCCACCTCCTCCCAGTCTACAGACAACCTGGCACCCCAGTCGGAGGAGGGGATGCTGGGGTTCCTTCCAGAGTACACGGGCTCCTCAGATGAGATGGAGATAAAGCAAGAGTTGGACTCTTTGAGCTCTGACAGTGACAACACACAGGGCTCCAGGTAACCTAAACTAGACAAGATACATGTGTGTGTGTGTGTGTGTGTGTGTGTGTGTGTCTTTTCATTACTGTTAAAGTCAATTTGTCTTCTATTGTTTCAGTGAAGCAATCCACAAAGGTTGCTCACACAATATTCAACTAAGCTGACATAATAGAGTCAGAGATTGTGAAACTGAATTTCTAGAATACTTTTATTTAGGATTAGCATTCAAACTGAGAGTAGATCAATTCTGACCAACAGGTCTGAGGAAGAGAAGCATTTCCTTCTTTCAGCTGTATTTTGTATTTTGTGGCCTTACACAGCTGATGGAGTTACTCAGTTGACATGAAAATGGTCTAGGTAGTCAAATAGAGAACAATATGTAGGCTATAATATAGATTTATATGATATCTTCATATTATATAATGCCTTGATTTGACGCTATCATATGACAACAATGTGATTGACCGCAGCCACCTGTTATCGCCTGACATTCATTCATTCATTCAAATAATTGACAAATAAGTTTAAGCCATTTCCCTGACAACTTAGTAACTCCCTGGATATGGATATGGCTCTCAGCAGTAGACTGTTGTCTTTAAAACTATACATATATGGCATAACAACGGGTGTAGCTTTAGCCCAAGATTGCCGCTTCAGCTAGATTTGTCTCAGTACCGTTAGCTGTGTGTTTGAGTAGTTTGGGGTTTAGCGTTAGCTATTGTAACAGTTTGTTGTAGTTTGTAGTAACAGCAAATTTTGCAGGCCATTTCTTTGAAATTATACATATATGACATAACAATACATTTTGAATGAAGTAAAAAAAATATGGTTTTCAAACAAATGTCATCAGGTCAGATTCTAATCTTAATTAATGCATTTTAGCATTTATGTGGCAGTATATATCATTGCCAATTTATTTATCTTATCCAGTATTCAACATACTTTTAAAATAACTTTTGGCCTCTGACTTGGGGAGAAAGTTGCTGATGTTAACAAATGGCAGAATTGTTCTGTTATTGAAGATTTAGGAACAACATGAGCTTTTGAACCCAGAGGTGACAGTGCCTGATCTAAAATGTCCCCTCTCTGTTCTCCAGCTCCCACCCTATTTCAGCCAGGAAGAGGCATGCCAACAAGCACCTGTCCATGAAGAAGAAGAAGCTGCGGGTGATGCAGGCCATGCTACAGCAACAAAAGAGGTCGAGCCGAGCAATAGAGGAGACATGCAGGGAGGTCCGTCGAGCCCTGCACCAACAGAACCTCCTCCAGGTCCAGTGTGTGCAGCTGCAGGAGCGTATGATGAACCTCCTGGAGAAAATGATCCAGCCTCCCTCCACCACATCAGCGTCATGGGGTCAGAGTGGGGCCAAAGACCCAGGGAAGCCATGAAGTGTGTGGGTTATGATTGCTGGGAGAGATCATGGTCTTGCCTCACCTGTAGCCTCTGACGCAAAAATAAAGAAGGCTATATTTCTTTGGATTTCAGTTAGACATTGAACAGAGAAGTGCAACAATTTACTCCTATGATTTCTGAAGGTGTCATCAGCCTGAATACCTTTAATGGAAGGTAATCACGCTAATAATCACAATGACGTAGACATACACTGTCTCTTTAGCAGTTGGGCTCCAATGTTTTCATCTCAAGGATACTTGTATCTTTCTTGATAATTTGTACCCTATTAAAAACACTGTGGGAACAACAGCCTTGCAAAATTAGACTTATCTTGTCACTTCATTTTGTCACTGTGCCAGGATAATTACAAGTTGGGAAGGTTTGATGCCAAAACAGAGCAATTTGTAGCATTATGAACCAGGAGCTGAGGCAATAATCCCTGCTGTTATTGAGTGGGTTGTCAGCAAATAGCATCATAATCAACACAAACTGCATGAGATTTCTTGAAGAAGGAAATTTCACATCTCTTAAATATGTCATTTTTGTGCTCAATAGCAGAAGAAACACATGCTGGCTTACTGTTTCCCATGGAGGATACTGAATTGCTTCTAGCCTTGGTTTTTCATTGATGTGGCTCTAAAGATTTGCCTGGAAAAGAGAGATGAAATAATTTATTGTTAAGGTACATATCCTGCTTTCAACTGAAAAAAACTAATCAAGGTGAAGCTCATTTAGATGTAATAAATATACGAACTCAATATAATAAATACTCAAACTCATCCTTTGCATTTTCAGATTGTGTGTCACTGTGACCACACAGACTACTACTCTGCCTGCACAGTAATTGGTAGTATATTAAACGTATATTCAAACAAATAACATTTAAACAGCATTTAATCTTGGTTGGCATTGTGCTTTTAGGATTAGACATAAATGTAATTTTTTAAAAAAATACTACATAAAAGATGACCTGTTCTCCATTGCATTTCTGCTGAATAAAACACCTCATGGTCTGGCCATCATTTCATGTGTTTCACTGTAATTTTCTCCACTGTTTCCCCAGCATATCTGTTTCTGCAGGGTAATTATTGAAATGCAAAGTACACAGAAGGCAAGGAGTGATAGAGCTGAAATGTTAAAGTCTTTGCCTTCCAGCCTATTTTAAGAGGATTTGGAGAAACTAGGGATTAAGTTAGTTCCATCACACACTACACCAACTTCACGGCAGTCACTGCCTCATGAGAAAGAAATTGTAATAGGCTACAGTTTTTTTATGAGATGTACACCAAATTGTGCCACCTGTGATTGTTACACCTACCCAATAGTAAATAAATGTGTGTGCAACAGCTTGTCATGGTTTACAGCACTAGGCTATCAATAATCTCAGTCACATGACATGTTTCATCAAATAACTGTCAGTTATTTCCTCTTTGCTGCAAATGTGTTGGCTACACACCTGTTGTAAAGCCATGTGACTTTGTGTGCAGCCGTTGCAGCCCTTTGACCAGAGAGGTTTGTTTACAGACTATTTGCTGTAAAGTGCTGCACCAGTGTGGAAGAGGCAGGGGGCAAGTGATTGAGGTATACAGCAATGATAGCAAAATCATATTGGTAAGATTTTTATTTATTTAATTATATATATATATATATGTATATATGTTGAGAAACTTATCACCAATGTATATTTATATATATATATATTTATATAAATTGGTGATAAGTTTCTCAACATATACATATATATATGTTGAGAACTTATCACGAGTGCATTTTCGAATCTAAAATGCTTCTTCGTGACATGTGTGATTACAGAGCGTATGGTGTGGTTTAAGTATTTCTATATTTAAGTGGAATTGTTCATTAAATGGACCTAGGCTTTTAAATTTGGTTTACTTCAGCGCAAAAATAAAGAAGGTCAACTGACATCAATATCAGCCAATAGGGTCACTCCAATCGTTTGAATATTGAACGTGATAGGCGCGGTGATTGGCCAGAGGGAGACGTCACATGTTCCAGAGACGTTACGCTGTCATGGTTACAGTGAAAGACGCTTTGTGATCTCCTCTGTGAGTCAATGGAGGGAGGCGGTGTTGTCGCGGTTTGCCATATGGACTACTACTGAATCACGGCGCGGAAATATTGTTTTGAATAATTAAACAATGGACGAGTAATGTGAAAAATGTAAATGCGTGGACTTTCATCAACGTGAATGTAAAGCCGTGGGCGTTTTTGCGAAACTTTTCGTCCCTGGAAAAGGTAATTTGCAAACTTAGCGTTAGTCTTCAAACAGCCTCATTGTAGTGCTATTGTGGGAACGAATTCAGAGTTTAGCATTACTTTATCGGTTTGACGTTTTTATAAGGGAATTTAAAATAAAACTAAAGCAGCCTCAAGGCTTCGTCAAGTGTTTCCTGTGTTGGAAAAATGTTTAACTTCTGTGGTGAGCAGAGTATTGGAACATGTAAAAACAGAGTGGTTGACCGAAACCATAGAGTCTGGTTATCATTAAAGTGCTGTTGGTGAGTAGAGGGCCAGCTGGCACTCTGTTTTAGGGGAGTGGGTGGAGGGGTAAATGGGAGTAATTTGCAAGCTGTGTTAGGAAGAACATAAAAGCTGTTTGCCTTATCTTTGACAGATAATTGCTAAAATAAGATTGATATCAGTGGCTTACTTAGTTATTAAATTTCCTTGGTAGACTTCAAATCCAGCTGGAGAAACACTCTGCCTCTTTATGTCATTAGGTCCATATTATTTTTTCTAATATTAATAGTATTTTTTTTCATAATTTAGTCAAAATTAATTTGGGTAGTTGCATTTTAATTTCAAGTATTTTCATTTGTTTCCAAGTGTATCTGTTAAGTATTTTTTAAATCTGTTTCTACCAAATGCTCTAAAATCGTGTGTATTATTAGTAGCCTATTCAAGTATAAAAGTACTTAATGGAATTATTTTTACTTTTTAGGGCCTAAAAGTAGCCAATTTATCAATGAATGGATTGACAGAAAATGAACTAGCTATTATTAATTAATTTAAATTTTCAAGAAATAATGACAAAAAATTACTCAGTTTCAGCTTTCTTGCTTTGTTTTGTTTGGCTGTAAACTAAAAATCTTTTCAACTGTTTTAAACTGTTCATTGGTCAAAATAAGACCTCATAGGCTAGATGTTTTGGCAATTTTTAGGAGTTTCACAGAACATTACCCTCACATTAACCTATTAATTCACAGTATTCAATAGAATAATTGCTAATTATAATATTCATTAGTTTCAGGCCTAGGTTAATGTCTCAGATTAATATTTGATCAAAACAGGTTGCTGTTGAAAGGTGATGAACAACTGAATTATTTCTATATATTTCATATATTTTGTATAGTTTGCTACATTGCCGACAAACTACTTTTCAACTTTGTTTCTTCCTGTTTTTTCCCCCACTTTGGTAACTGTAGCATGACAACAACACAATAGTGTTGGCAACCTGCAAGTGTTTCAGTTCCCACATACTGGATCTCACAGCACCCTACGACAAAGATGAGGATACAAGGACAGCCTGAGGGTGCAAGGAGGCGTCTGGATTTAAATGCAGTCGGTGAGCTCAGGGGTGTGGAGGTCATCCGTGGTCGGGCAGGATATGGCTTTACTATTTCAGGACAGAGGCCATGTCTGTTGAGTGGCATCCTGGAGGGAAGTCCTGCTGACCTGGTGGGACTCAAACAAGGGGATCGCATCATGGCAATCAATGGAACTGATGTGTCCACTGCTTTGCATGAGGCTGTTGTGCAGTTGATTGGCAGCTGCAAAGGACCCTTGCGATTGGTGGTGCATGCTGATGGCCGAATAATGGGGAACCCCATCCTTAATGATGCAAAATTTGGGATTGGCCCCAAAAGTGGTATTTTCCAAAAGGCAGGTGTTCTTCGCACAATCTCTTACGACTCAAGCAATTCCTCCTTTAACTCAAGTCTTGCTGTAGCCACCAAACAGAGGCCAGTATCAGAGCCTGATATGTCGCAGTGGTCACAACAGTGGAGTGTTTTACCTGAGAAACCAAAGGAGGAAACTTCCAGAGTGGGGGACACAGACTCTGTTTTTACAGACCCTGAAGAAGTCAACCCAGACTGGAGTATTTTAAACATGACCTTGGTGGTTGGCTACCTGAGCTCCACAGAGCTGATTTTGAACACTACAGGGTCAGAGGAGGATTGTTTAAAAGCTATTAGGGAGCGAATACGACAGTTGGGTACGGAGCAGGATACCCATACTCTGGTGATGATGAAAATTATGTTTGACTGCATCCGCCTTTGTGACGATGCGGGAGCTGTTTTGGCAGCTTTTCCCACTGAGAACCTTGTCTTAGGGGCCGTGTGTGCTGAAGACCCACGATTCTTTTGCCTGGTCACTACAGCACATATAATAGATGGCCGTGTACCAGAGGATGGTCCTCTGCGGGCATCCTGCCATGTTTTCTTTATCGACCCAGAGCTCGGAAACCATGAGGATCACAAAGGGATTGCTGGACGCTTTGGCTTTGAGTGCACTCCAGATCCAGATGCCTTGGGCTGTCTGGAATTCCCTCAGACTCCCCCTGATGTCCTTCACTTTGTCACAGTCCTGTACAGTGACATGGGGGAGGCTGTGGAGAGGCTTAGAGTAAAACTGGACATGGAGGCTCAGCAGCAAGCCAAGGAGAATGGTAGCACTGGCAAACAAGGCAGCGCCAGCAGCAATGGGGACAGTGGAATTGGAAATGCGTCCCCCCCTGAGGAGAGAGCGGACAGGGATTTCCCTTCTGCAATCCGAACCCACCCTGGGGCCCACCTCCCCAGCTGTCCGTGGGATTATCCTCCGTATGAAGACCTCACCCCAATAAACCTTTCTGAGAATGGTCATAAACTTAATCCAGAGAACAGTGCCAGCACACATTCCCTTTCAGAGTCACTACCTGGTCCTGATTCACTAACCAGTTTTTATGGAGGTCCCCCACCCAGGCTTGAGTTCCAGTTTAAGCCCCCACCACCTCCTCTGCCTTTGGGTAAAAAAACAAACTTCTTCGGAGACCCTCTCAGAGCTAGCCAAAGGTGGTTCTCAAAGCCAAAGTGGCCTAAAGCCCTAAACAGTGATCCTGAGGCTCAGGTGACATTTACCAACAACTGGTCCTCCAGTGTTAGCCTTAGCTCCGGCACAAGTAACCTCCCTCCCCCTATGAGCCAGATTCCTTCAGACAGGTACCAACCAGCAGAAGTCATGATGCTGCCTCCCAGAGAGGAATGGACCAAAAGGTTTCTTGAACAGAGACAGAAACAGCGCAAGGATGGTACAACCAAAAATGTGAGTAA